TCTCCCTCTCCTTCTGAAAAGCAATGGAAAAAATATCCTCTAGTGAGGATTAAAAAAAAAAACCAAAACAATGAATATGGTTTGTAGATTTCCAAATGGTTCTATTAAATTCTCCTTTCAAAGTCAGTTTGGTGGAGTATGCAAAAGACTTGGTATGAAGAGTTATCTTATGGGGTTTGAACATTGATATTTGCATTTGTATTACGTTGATTAAAGAAACAAAATCTGTAAAATGTTTAAATGACAATCCATGTCTGAATCTTTTCAAAAGCAGGATATTTATTTGAGGAATAATTGTGATAGTTTCTTTTTCATTAGAAGTGAATATTGTTTCCAGAATTGTCTCCGTACTTCCTCATTCTTACAGTCAAAATAACAGTCATTCGTCTAAGATGTGTCCAGAAGTTAGGAGTCACTAGGTGATAGAAATTTTTCAGCTCCATTATAATCTTATGGGACCACAGTTTATATGTAGTCCTTCGTTGACTAAAACATAGTTATGTGGCACATAACTATAAAAGCCTATCTGTTCTACTGTAGTAGCCACATAAGCTGCTAAAATTTAACCTCATTTAAGATACATATAGAATTAATTTAAAATAGAAAGAAGTAGTTTGGCTTAAAAGTCTTATATTCTTCTTTTTCCAGCTGGACACTAAAGTTTCTCAGGGTTGAGTCTCTGACCCTGATCAAGGGCTGCTTTGATGCTACACTAGGTGGATGCCTGTCATGTTCATGGAATCAATTCTGTTACATATTGTTTCAATATTTCACAAAGATTTATTTTCTTTGTTCTCTCTTATTCTAGTGAGACTCTATACAATTTCATTTCCCATGTCAGAGAAAGCATTTGCAAGGTAAGTACAGCTACATTTCAGAGTTAGAATATCTTACACTTTAAGAAGTTAAATAATTATACTGTATTGACTTTAGTTCATGTAGAATAGCAATATATTAACAACTCGTATCATCAAGTGACAGTTCTTCAAGTTACTAACAGTCTGTGAATTTTTTTTTTAATTTTGGGTTTCTTAGTTGCAGACATCTGTGGAAAAGTCTGAGGAACATCTCAGTTCCAGAAGCCAATCTATTCTGGATTCTCTGGAGACAGTGGCCAAGACCTGTGAGTGTCTCCTGTTTGAGGTTATCAGCAGAGGGCAGTGGCGAGCAATGAGTGTGAACTTTCTGATCCTAGCCAGGTTTCTGCAGGTAGTGAGGTTCCACAATGCATTTCAGATGAGAGGTTGGGTACAGAAGGTTAGTCCTGAAGAGATGTGACTCACACTAAACTGGGTAGTGGGGCCTGGAAAAAATAAATCAATAAACTGGGTATCGTGACCCACCTCTGTGTGGGAATGCCTCGTCCCAAGATGCCTTTTGTGAAGCACTAATCCTCCACCCAGTAACCCCACTGGTAGCTCTGCCAGATTCTCATCTCACTGCCTGAAGTAAATCAGCAGCATCCCCGAGTCTGAAATGAATTGTTAGCTGTGCTCTCTATAAAGGCATTGCTCTCCTAGGACTTAGAGATAAAGCAACTTTCCCTTAGGACTTAAAAATACTCCAGTCACCTACTGTTCTTCTGGCTGCC